TTTGGGACAGGCATTTTGGGTTTTCATGAGCTGTATGCCATAATCATCAGTATTAAAACAATTAAAGACCTGAAATATTTCAGTGGGTGTGCAATGAATCTGAAATATATGAAAGTTTCATTTTTATTATTACATTATGGAAAATAATGACCTTTATCACAATATGCTATTTTTTTAGAAGGACCTGTAGCAGCATAACAAGCCAACCCTAACTATAGGATTTATCAAAAAGAAAAGTCTTGAGCCCAGTCTTAAAACTGGACAATGTGTCAGCCTCACGGACAGAAACTTTAAGTTGTTCTACAAGAGAGGAGCCTGATAACTGAAAGATCTTCCATTCTGCTTTTGGATATAAGAACCGCAATTAAGCCTATAGTATGAGAGCGAAGAGCTCTGTTAGGAAAATATGGAACGATAAAATCAATAATATCAGATGGAGCTAGGTTGTTGAGAGCTTTGTACTTTGTAGGTTAGAGTAAGATTTTGAATTCAATTCTGAATTTGACAGTGAGCCAATGGAGAGAAGCTAAAAATGAGAGATGTCTGAGGGAGCGTAAAAACCAGGAGTGAAATCACTCCAGTGATAAAAAGATCTGAAATAATAAAATGGCCAGCCCAAGTTTTATTTTAATGCACTTTGTTGCTCCCGGCTTCAGGATTTCATGTGAATAACATCGAACTCTTACTAAAGCTTTTGATGACAAGTGATCAAAGAGAGATTTTAAAAAATGTTAAAGAAGCAGAAACAGAGGTGAGGAGGGGGGATGCAATGCTCTCCCGGGCCCATGACTCACCCTTATAGCCTACAGCACAAATACATCTGTTATTTATAGAAGAGACGAGCGTCACTGTACGTGCACAATTTTTTACAACTTGTTTCAATCCAGAAGATGAAGAAAACATTTGTCTCCCCTTCATATCTCTCCGTCTCTCATTAAGTCTTACCTTCAGGCCTGAGGTAGATATGTCGATCAATTGTCTCTTATGCTCCTGCTTCTCTTATTCCTAATTATCTCAACAAACACCCCCCGTATGCAGGACCGTCTCTTCCCTCTTTTCTTGTCGTATTTTTCTTTTTCTGTGGGAATCAACGTCACTGCCAACAGCCATGCAGCCATCTGTCCCCAATGAGTTGGAGCCTTTAAAACTCCCAGTGAGCGAGGATCATTAGCATCAGGTATCTGGTGATAAAACGACACAGACCTTCACAGATCAGTAGAGAGGGGCTCATTAGGCAGGTGTGTGGGAAAAAAACACTAAATGAGAAATGAATAGAAGGGAGGAAATAAAGTGGGTGTGGCTGCGAGGCGAGAAAAACAAACCAGAAAATCAGCAGAGAAAATATTCAACAATAAATATGATGAAAAATACAGGAGGTGTTTTTAGTTTATTTTAATGAGACTGAAGTGACAAGGTGATCTGGTTTAGATTTGTTGTTTATTTACTGGATAACTTAATGATCTGTATTTAAAAAGAACCAAAACTCTATAATCGGATCATTAGCAGATGTTTTATCAATGCGGTGGATGTGCTAGCAAATGTGTTTTTTATTTGAGTTCACACAGTTTAGCTTCAGGTAGTTCCTCACTGGGCTGCGAGTTGCTGGTGAACAGAGAGAGAGAGTTTTGTCACTGGAATTGTGAACATTTTCAAAAGATTTACGTGATAAATTTTCTCTCAAGATCATCACATAGTCATCACATGTGTCTCAAGCTCATCTCAGAAGCATTCTTTTGACACCAGTAAGGTAGCTCTCCTCTGACAAGAAGCACGTCTGGGTGTAAAAGCCACACTGATGATAATAACCATAAAAATGATCCAGTCTATCTTTATGTCAAAAGTGCATTCCTGTAGTTTCACTCATGAGGTGGCTGCTTAGATATGATGTGGGCAACAAAATCATTTGCATAGCATATATGTACAGTACAGTTTTGTAAGCCATGCACACAAAAATAAAACGTTTTTTAAAATCTCTGTGCAAAATGCAACCAGCTGGCTCATTGGTCACTTGGTTGAAAACGTTGAGAATTCAGTGAGACTGCAACCAAGATGTAGTTTTCAGCAGCCAGCTACATCCCAGTGAGATGCTACCTTTAATACCAGAACTGTTTGGGCACAGCCTATCAGAGTGTATCAGTGGGTGACTATGTGTGACGTCATTATGAGTCAGAGTAGATCAGACCGGGCCTCCAGCAAGACTAAACTTCTAACACTACTTTGGTTAATTTTTGCTATTATTTATATATTTATTAATTCATTCATTCATTCATTTATTCTTTCATTTAAAAGAAACCAAACAAATTCATCAAAAGAAAGGAAAAGGGTGCAGAAAGAAGAAGAACATTCTTATATCGGCCCCTTTATAATTGGTGTTGGTCAAACCCGAAAATACTAAATTGATTAAAGTGCAGGCACATCTATGGGCAGCACAGTGTTGTCATCATTGACATTTGAATAAGTAATTAATGTTTCTCGACCCCAGGATTTCTGGTCCGATACTGACACTGGGTAAAATTCAGGCTAGTATCGGCGATACTGATACCGATAATGATACTTTGTGCAAATACACCTAATGTGTCAGGTAAAGCTGAAAAAAAAGCAATGTGTTTCAAATCAAAGCTGCAAATGCAACGCACAGTCCAAACAGTACAAGTGCTCACTGTAGGCTGGTTCCAGCCCAAGTTTAAGTTCATATGAACAAAGAGGACATTTTAAAAAACCTGAAAAATAATCACTTTTTAATTGACTTTCAGCTGCACATCCTGAATCTGCAAACTCCAGTTCCACAATTACAACATGGCAGCTTCTGTTAACCAGATGTTCTGGTTTCGCTTAACATAAGGAAATGGAGACACTTCGTCCATCTTTTTGGTCTCAGTGGTTGTTACACTCAATGTGCTAGCAGCAACACAGGTGCCTGTCACAGCAGGGATCCTTTTCTCTGTACAAAGAAAGATAACCAGAGTTGTGTAGAACTTTCAAAAAAACATATTTATCAGGGGAAAAGGGACGACTATGATCCTTCCAGAGCTTTTGTATGTAATTTGTTGAAAAGACAAAAAATGTAAATCCCTTTATGCTTGTAATTACAGTCGGGGGGAGTCTTCAGTAAACTGTAGCCCAGGTAGGAATGAGAAATGATCCATGTTGAGCCTCAGGGCTAAATCAAAGGAAATCACTGTTGTTGTTTGTTTTCCTCTTCAAAATTCAACACGTGTATGAATTTCAAACCGGTATATTTTGGGCCAGAAACAATCAAGGAAAACAACTTTCTAATTCAGCCATCTGATGCCCTGACCTCTGATCAGTATCACCATCAAAACCCTTAATCTAGGGGTGTCCAATCCTGGTCTTCAAGGGCCAGTGTTCTGTATGTTTTACAGGTTTCTCTGTTCCAACACACCAGATTTGAATGAATGGGTGATTACCAGGCTTCTGCTGAACATGAAGAGGCAATTCAACCATTGAATCAGGTGTGTTGGAGCAGGAAAACAGGTAAAACTTAGAGTTGCATTCGGGCCTAAAATATCTGACCCGGCCTGGCCCGAGCCCGTATAATTTTTTCTGACACCCAACCTGACCAATTAACTATAATTAGAGGTCTGAACCCGAAGAAAAAAAGACTTTTTTTTATTAAGCTTTTACTGCTTTTGTAAGCAAATCAGTTTGACATGATAGTTTTAAAAATATATTTCAAAGAAGATATAAGATTTCTTGTTTATTAACAAGAGTCAGCAAATTATTATTATAGTTATTATAATTAATGTAGTTATTATAGTTGTTATAATTATTATAGTTATTATAATTTTTATAATTTTTATAGTTATTAATGGTCAGCGGATGCGCGCGGATGATGATCCAGTGATCCATCTGAAGACTTTTTTAAAACCTTTTTCAACTGGCCGGTCGGACCTGAGCGTTAAAACCGCATCCAAAGCCCGAGCCCGACCCAGTCCACCCATCAAGCACGTCGAGTCGGGTTGGGGACTCTGGCCAAAAACCGCAGCTCTAGTAAAACTTGCACAATAGTGGTCCTTAATCTGTCAACCTCTGGTCTAGAGCACCCCCTTTCAGTTTAGTTTAGTTTAATTTAGTTTAGTTGGAACTCCTTTTGGTTAAACTGGGTTATCTGGATTCTACAAGCTTTCCGAGCTTCACCAGTTAGCTGCTGACTGTATATCATTTGTTGCTGCAGGCAGCATCAAGTGGGCTTATTGTCACAGAACCATTTCAGTTCAAACAGCTGGAAGTTAATAAAAAGCTCTGTGGACCTGAATGGAGCTACATTACAGAGTCAATAAAGATCACTATAAGAAACAACACATCTTTTTTTTTACCCAGAAATCTTGCAGGACATGCAGCACCCATCTTACTTCTTCCTGTTTGTTTCGCTTCTGTCCTTCAGTGGGAGACTGAGCAGCAGAGGAGTTTGGAGGAGAGAGGTCGCCTGCTGCTCTGCCTGCAGTTCCTCCCTCCAAACCCCGACAGTGATCTGAAGGGCGAGGCCAAGGAGAGAGCGCGGGGTGGACTGTGTGTGGGCGTCAAACGCTGCGCCCACCTGGCAGCCATGGACGTCAACGGCTTCTCTGACCCTTACGTTAAAACGTGAGTGTGACATCAAACTGGAGGACTATGAGGACCACATAAGCTGCTGCTTCTGTGAACGTGCAGGACACGCTGAGCACTGAAAGGTTTAGCTAAAAGCTTTATAAGAAGCTGAAACTGAGTAGTTTAAAAAAAAAAAAATTAATAAAAAATAGAAATAAACAGGAGCCATAAGGTTTAATGTAGCAAAAGAGTAAGTACAAGCTAAAAGCAACAAAATGTCAGCTCAAAGTATCCAAAAGGCTAACTAAAAGCTAAAGTAGCTATATAAACCAAAAGTAGCATAGAAGGACAAAATGCAGCCGATAAGCTAAAGCAGGTTTCAAAGATAATAGTTTTTGAAGCATTTTAAGAGATGTCGGTTTATTTCCATGGGAAACTTTTTTCATAAATAAAATGAACTATTTTGAAAAGTGTAAAAGTTACAACAAACAAAAGTCAAAGCACTCGTGTCCTGATACGAGCAGAGCGTTTTTGGTTTTGGAATGGGTACATTTGTGCAAAAAAAATTTTTCATTGAAAAACAAAATAGAGCAAATAAATAAACAGGAAAGCAATGATGTGAATGCTTTATTAACATTCACACAATCGGGCAAAATATTACGACAGGCCCTATTTTATTTATTTATTTATTTATTTATTTATTTATTTATTTATTTTATGGCATGTCTTGTGTCCTAATATTCATCAGCAGTGCAGAGTGCACCCCAAACCTTTCAGAGCTGATCTCATCTGGTCCTTCATGTGTCACTTGTCAGGACCTAAAAATCACTTATAATCACATTTACTGGTAAATGTCCACAAACTGCTTCATATCCTCTAAATGCCGAGCTGATGCTCTTTGGCATGAAACATGCAATAAAACAAATTATTTACCAGAAAGTAATTCATCACTGAGTTGTCATAATGTTTTGGTCCTTGTGATGTTTATTCAAATAAAAATGTAGCAAATATTTAAATAATTCTTGTTTGAGTTGATTCTGACTGACTGAGGTGAAATGTTGGCTCGTTTTAATTCATTCTGGCAGCAGAGCATCAGAGTAAACCAGCACTGGATCTAGAACTGGTATCCAAACTGGGCTTGGTTTGAGGAATCGATGAAGTTGTTGCTAATTGAGTTGTATTCTCTCCAGCTGTGGACCACATGTGGGACCTACAGCATGTGGTTTCCAGTCTGGGGTGGTATTCATGCCATTCACAGGAAGGATTCAGTTCTTCCCCCCCAAACCAGTTTTGCTACCTCGTAGATCATGTCAACTACGTAGACCAAGCAGCAGATACATTGAGTTCACCTCTCAGAATGTGACAGATTACTACTTTAAAGACATTTTGATGCACTGTGTCTCATTTATTAAGGAAATCACAATAATATTAGTTTGACAGCCTTAAAAAGTAGACTGATCTAATATAGGTGCCCGCTGGACGTGACGCAGGATGAGAACCAGATCATGGTGATGTCCATGTCAGAATGTCCTTTGGCATTTCATTACTCACTGGTGATGGAGAAGCAACTCAGCGTTTGTCATCGAATGTGTCGTGACTCTGCAGTGAGGGCAGGAAGGTCCCTGAACTGCAAATTGACAGAAAGTTGATGAATGAGCTGGAATGTCTTCATGTTGTCACTGAGAGGCAGCACTTTAAATCAAAAAATACAGACAAGCAAAATACGCACGTTTTCAATATGTACGCTAAAGAAGAGCCATCCATAAACAGCATCTCTGTTTTAACAACAGCATGATTGTGCTTTTTCAGATGTGTAAGCTGCCTATTGCATAAGCAGTAATGTACCCCTATACCATCAGAGATAACTGGATTGATTGCTGCCACAGGCTTGTTTAAACCACTGAGCAGTTTTCTACTTTGCCTCAGCTTTAAATGAGCTTTGACCAGAAAAGATAATGGCATTCTAGATGGTGTTTACATGTGCCTTCTTTTGTACGATAGAGCTTCAACCAGCATGTGTGACAGACACAGTGAGCTGTGAACAGAATCAGACCTGGTCCTCGAGGGCCTGAAGAACACGAGCATCCAACGCTGCATTGTCCTTTGAGCTCAAAAATTTCTCTAAATTGAACTATTTAAACTTCATGAACTGTATGTGATGGGATGTTCAAAGTCCTCCCAATTTTCTGCTGAAGAACATTATTCTGAAAATGTTCCACTATTTATAGAGGCAGCTTTTTGCAGACTGGTGAACCCCTGATCAACAGTTAGCCTCTCTAAAATGTTTTTTTAGAACCAGTTCTCTTACGGGCCTGTTGCTGTTTAACCTATTTAGTTGTAAAATGCTCCTCCGGCTGTTATTCATTATGCATTTAGAGCTTTTTGTTGTCCTCTCCCATCTGTTCTGAGACGTGTTGCAGCCACAGAAATCAGAATTACCTTTCTTTCCTCTCAAAATTGCACATTTTTGGTTTAAATGTTTTATATGCTATGGTACATTGTTTATAATATATGGGATTAAGAGATTAGCAAATCATCGACTTCTCTTTTATGCAACGTTCCAACTGTTTTGGAGTTAGGGCTGTACAAATATGTAAGAACTGATGTTCTGTCGTCTTTGCATCAACCAAACCTACACATCCATCTCACGCACGTTCATCGCCGCACATCATGCCTCTTGTTTCGTTTTGGATGCTTGCGCACATCTTTGGCCTTTGGCAGGAGCTTCTTCACAGATGCTTTGTTGTGTCTGAGAGCGTGTGGGAACATACGCATTCAGAGCTGTGGGTGGTGGGTGGAAAACAAATGTGAATAGTGATTTTTGCCACGCTCCTTCCAGCTGGCTTAAAAATATCCCACAACTTTAATGGCTGCCTGAGAAACCGAGCCTTTTCGATCTGTACTGTTTTGTTCATCAGTGCTCCTCACCAGGGTTAGTTTCACATCGGCATGATGGAGAAGCTCATTACTATCATTGATGGAGAGCTTTTTTAGTGAAAGGAAACAGCTGGGATTATTTTAAAAGATGTGTTTATGTCTGGTTAGGAAATCTAATTTTCATAAAAGGCTTTGAAGAATGAAAATCCCCACCACCTTTCATGAAGAGATTTAGACTAAAAACCACTTCTGCAGAAAAATTACCAAACTATAGTTGTTTTGGTTAAACTGAAACTCACGTCACGTGCAATTCCTTATAATTCTTGAGGAGTCATATGTTGAGGATGACTCTCAGTTACTACCACATCAGGTTTTAGCTCAATATGCGTAAAACTGACTAAGTTGAAGCTGTATTTGTATACGCTAATATGAAGCTATGGCAACCACTTTGAAATGGATTATCAAAAGGCAATCACTTGTAGATGTACAGCCACTAAAAGTTTCATTAAAACCCATTCATTTAACTTTTATTTATACAGGTTAGTCTCATTGAGCCTCGAGGACTCATTTACAAGAGAGACCTGATTTAAACAAAGAACAGATGAGGTGCAGACGATCATATGAAAAGAATATAAAACAAAAAAGGAAATAGAAGAAAGGAAATAAAAACGAAACAAAAACGGCTACATTATAAAGCGATGTAAACCCATCCAGAGTCTCATGAAATATTTTGCTAACAGACAGACACGAGCACAGTAATTGCTGCTTGTTCAAACTTTAAACATGAGAATTAACAGTGATAAATAGTGAATCGTGTTTCATAAACCTTTGGACATACAACAAAAGTTGTTTCTAGACCAGGGGTCTGCAGCCTTTTTGGTCAAAGAGCCATTTCTGTCCTACTCATTAAATTAAAAAGAGAAACTGCTACAACTGTGATGATCAACTGGTGGCCCACGGGCCACTTTGAGTTAGTTGGAGGGGGCTTTTTGGACCAGCGGGGGTGACATTTTAAAACCAAGAATCAATAATGAAATTCAATATTTATTCAATTTTTTTTACATTTTGGGACAAAAAACAACTATGACATAAATTAGGAAAAACTTCTAGTTTGTACCTTTAGATGAAAATAAAAACACTGAACTCTGCAGGCCCATGTGGCCTTTGATGTAAGGAGGAATTAAATATCCCACTTTGAAGTAATAAAGCAAAACATAGTGTCGTTCAAAAAATTGACAAAAAATAACCGCCACAATGAGCCTTTTTTGTTGTGGGTTTAAAAACCAGAACAATTGTTTCCTGTAAGATTTAGTCAAAGCTTCATTTAGCCACAGATGAGGGACTAAAGAGCCACAGGTTGCAGACCCCTGTTCTAGACTAAGCTAAGCTAAGCTAACGTAAGAAAAGCTAAGAGAAGTAGCTCCTGCTAACAACATAGCCAACTATATTACATGACATGTAACATGAACAATTTTATCTCCCAAAATTTTAACTTTTTCTGAAGCTTGTTCGTCTCTGAAGAGGTCGTTAGCAATAAAATGACAGCGAGACGACGGGCAGAACCAGTAAATCTGTTATGTAACCCAACATAATTATTCTGCTGATGTATGGCCACGCTCTGACCTTTAATCCTGGCATTTGCTGCTACCCTTTACTTTTCGTTCCAACCAGTCTCTTACACGATGATACGTTCTTCTGTTCTAGGTACCTAAAGCCAGATGTTCAGAAGAAATCCAAGCACAAAACGGCAGTCATAAAAAAGACTCTCAACCCAGAGTTTAATGAGGTAACGTTCACATCTCTGCACGTCTGTGTGCACGAAAAGCACATTTCGAACAAGACAGCATTTTATAATTCATGAAGGCACCCCCCCGGATACGTTCTTTTTGTAAGAGAATGACAGTTTACCTGTTGTTTACCACCATTAGTGGAACGTTAAGTGATCTTCTGACGTCTTTACTCTCACCCAGGAGTTCTTCTATGAAATCTCCTTCTCAGAGTTGGCCAACAAGACGTTAGAGGTCACCGTGTGGGACTACGATCTTGGAAAGTCTAATGACTTCATAGGTGAGTTCACAACAAATTAAAGGCCTATTAGGAGTGCATGTCGCCCACTGCAGTTAGACTACAATCATCTTATGTTGGGAAAAGATGGAGTTGTAGTCATTCTGGTAAAGCCTTGAAAATGTTGTTATGCACAATCTTGTGCACAGACAAGCAAAACATTATCACCCTTTGGCTTGTGATAAAAAGGGTATATTTGCTGGATTAGCTGCGCGGCCTGTGGATCTTCGCAGATGCTGCCAAAGATATTTTAGGATGTTGCTGAAGTGCAGCACAGGGTTTAGTTTGTGGCTAAAAGCCATCAAAAAGGCTGTTTGAGTAGGAGTAGGTGATATTAAAATGTATTTTTGTCACGTTTTATAAATAAGTTTCATCTGCCTCTGAGTTTTGGCGTTTTTATTTGACAAATTTCCATATTTTACATAACAGCAATACATGGTTTTGTTGTTCTGAAGAGGACATTGACAAGAAATCTTATGTTTAGTGGCACCATGCCAGCTATGTTCTGAAACGTGTCAAAACAGGACAAAAATACATTGTTTTACTTTTGCACAAGCGTCAGTATTGTCATAAGACAGGAATAAACTGTAACACTGGGTCAAAATAAGCATTTTTCATATTGAGGCAGAACGTTTCCATTAGCAGCTTATTAGAGTAGAAATTTATTAATATGATATGATAGTAAAAGTGAAAGCCTGTGGATGAGGATGAAAAATGTGTGCACTCTGTCAGGAAAGGTATCAAGGCCAACCTGACTTGTTAATTTTTAATTTTTAATTTGCAATTTTCACATTTTCCTCTTAAGCTCATTCAGCTTGACCTCTGTCAGCTTTTTGAAGTCATGGGGATCATATTAAAGCAGGTGTAAATCAACGTTATTATGACCATATTACAAAAAACAAAAAAAACTATCTGTCATTTAAATGACATTCACACATTTTAGCACTTCTGTGAATGTGAAAGTGTCTGAATTGAGTAAAACATTAAACCCAGTGGCAACACTTTGTGAACTAAATGTTCCAGAACACACGTGGTCTGCATTCATTCGAATAATAAAAAGAGAACGTTTGAATTTTAATAACATAGCCTACTTTGTTATTTGGGCCCCAGACCTATTTTTTTTTTAGAAACAAACATGGGTGTCCAAAGTGTGGCTCCAGGGCCATTTACGGCCCTTGCAGTGATTTTGTGCGGCCCACAACTGCAGTTTAAGAATGGTATCATTTTAGCCAGCAGGTTTAAGAGGTTGATAGACTTTCTTCTTGTTGATAATCTGTTTTTATATAATGTTTAGGTTAAACTGATGAAAAACAATCTTCTCAAAATGAGTAACATTAAACAAAATACAAACCTTTGGCTATAATCTTTTTATTTTCACTTACTGGTACAAAGCACCAAAAACCTTTACTGATTTCTACCAGAAAGGAGACTTTTGGATAATGATTCATAAAACTTGGCTACATATTGCAGTTGATCAAATAATCAAGGCATTTTTAAATGAATATAATGAGGTATCATCTGCATACGAGTTGATCAACTTTATCAAACCTTCTATGATTCTGTTGTAGCAACTGACAGCTGGACAATTTTTCAACACTTCGTTCAGCCTTTTGAGTCGTCCATGACCCAAAAGGCTGATCGACCTCCTTTTAAAAGGACACTTACTCAAATTATACTTTTGTTGCTGAGAACAGACTAAAATGAACTTTCAAAACACAAGAAAACAACAAAGATAGACCTAAAAATCAAATAAATTAAATCCTTTTTAATAAAATATAAAAATATAAGCTTAGTGTTTATGAGGTTTTAATGTTTTGGATGTACAAAATGTTAAAACTTTCTCCACCATAATTAGTAAACTTTGTCCTTTCTCCAAAATGTTGTTCACGCTGAGAGTTAAATTCACATTTTTGTGGCCCATGAATCTTTTCATCTTGATAGTTTTGGCCCACATATGAAAACGTTTGGACCCCTGCCTTAGAGGAATGCATATCGCCCACCGTCTTCTTGGTCAAACTTTATAAACCACTTGATGCACCATCTTGAGATTTGTGAGATCTCACGTGATCTGTTAGCGCTTAAAGTTTCTGTTGAGGATAACTCTCAGCGACTACCACATTTAAATTTAGCTCAATATCTGTCAAACTGACAGAGTTAGACCATTTTTGAGTTTGCTTACGTCAGTTTTCTGTGGTGGCCATCTTGAATTAGACTGAATGATGATGATGATGATGATGATGCGCATCCAATGATTATGTTCTGAAAGTTACACTAAAACCCTTTGAGCTCAGGAGATAATTTACTGTGCAGACAAACAAATATGTGCACAAACAGAACAGGCCTGGAAGGTGGGTGATAATTATATACCTATGTTTGTGAAAAAAAAAAAACATGAGCAAAATAAATAATAAACCCAGCTACTTCCTGCTCGTGAACTGTTTCTGTAAATAAAACCATCTAACAAAACCCTGCTGTTCTTAAAACCCCTAATCAATCCTGCACCAAAATATTATGGAGCAATCTGAAAACTTTCTCGAACAAATCAAACCCAAAATGTATGAATTGTCTCCGCTCTGGACAGGGGGAGTCTCCTTGGGGTGCCACTCACAGGGAGAGACCCTGCAGCACTGGATAGACTGTCTGAAGAACAAGGGCAAGAAGGTGGAGCGCTGGCACACCCTGACCAACGAGCTGCCCGGATCCACCCTGCAGGACTGAACCTCCTCCACACGGGAGGTGCTTCATCGCATGCTCTCGAGATTTTCTGCACGCCTGACTCATGTTCCACTCGTTCTGTGTTACTGAAGGGGTGGCCTGATCCATAGACCTGTCATCTCCAGGGTCCTGATCCCAGCAGAAAGCTGAGCTTATATTAATATTCGCGGACATTAACATGGATTTAATGTCAAACCAAATGCTCCCCTGCGTTACAGACTTCATTCGTGAAGAAAAACAAAGAGGGGAGGGGGTTCATTATTCTGCAGTTTGACTCCCCTGTCGTCCTTCCTGTCAGCTCGGCTCTCTTTTATTAAAGTCTGTCTTTCTTTTCATTACCTCCTGACATTAAAACTCCACGGGTAATGACCATCTGTCACACGGCGCACACGCCCTCGCAATAATGGTTTTCCCAGATGCTTCCAGAGATTGGGGGGCAGTTTTAATCCCGCTGGATGTTTTGCATCTATTGATCTGGCTGTTGTTGGACCGCCCGCAGCCTCGACAGATAATTGGCTGTCGTGTCGGCGTGCGCTGTTTGCATGTTCAGTGTCGATGGAGTCGTTCTCTGCAAAGAGATGAGCTGCTTGTTCCCCACTGTGTCTATTAAAGGTACTCATTGTAAAGTTGTGAAGACCACCCGAAAAACATAAGATGGAAGTAAAAAACACAAACTCTGCAGTTTTTTCTCATACTGATGGTTTATCTGGACCTAAATTAATAATTTAAAGGCAAATTTTATGCCCAGCTGCCAAATACGTGTATTTGTTCACTCAGTAACAACCTAACATTCCTGCCATGACTCTTTTTTATTTTTCCATCATTTTTTAAAGAAAATAAATGAACATTTCCTCTTTATTGCTCTTTAAAGTTAAAAAGGCAAACATGTCCTATTTGGACCCTGACCTTTTGTCCTTCATGCCACTGTGTTTGTCCTTCAAATCTTTGGACGTCTCCTTGTTTGTCCTTTTTATGACTTCCTCTTGTCCTGCCATAATGATAACATCTGATTCACTCAAGATAATTTAAGGAAACTTCACATACATGCATCATCAATAGAAGGAGTGTTGTGTACAATTTTCATCACCACAAATTAAAGGTCAAGGTAACAAGGGGTCAAGGTAATAAGGTCTTTGCTTAAATAAAGGCAAACAATAAAATAATAATTAATAACCAGAGAAATTGCATTTCCTGCATAAATGCAGTATGAATGCTTATTGCAGAAGAACTTGCTGAAAAACAGCTGAAATAGCTAAAAAAAAACATACTGAATTCTAGCTTAAAAGAAAGAACAAGTCTAAATGAGCTGAAGAAAGCAGAAACAACAAACATTTGCTGAATTAGGTTTAAATAAGCAGAAATGAGCACAGAAATAATGAAATTAGCTATGAAATTAGTGAAAAGTAGCTGAAAAGGCAGAAGCTTAAACTATCAAAAGGTAATGGAAAGAGCTGAAATGAGCTAAAAAAATATGTAATTGTTGAAAAAGCTAAAATGTGCATAAAAACAGCTAAATAGTAGCTAAAATTGCATAAAAATCTAAACTCTAGCAAATAAAAGCTGAAAGGTGCATAATGATGAATTTAGCAGAAAGAAGTTAATTTGGCAGAAAGTAGCAAAAATTACCATGAAAAACTAGAATTTTTCTGAAAACAGCTGAAATTAGGTCAAAAAGGCTAAAAAGTTATGCTGAAAAGGTAGAACAACCTTAAATTAGCGGAATGAAGCAGAGAGAGTATATTCAAAGTTTGTTTTCTCAGTCATCCAGGTATATAACAACAAAAAAGGTTGAATCATGTCATCTGGACTTCGTTTTTTTGTTAAAAAGAAACGTTTCGCCCCTCATCCAAGAGAGAGTATATGTTTGCACAATTAGGCTGAAAGAAGCAGAAATAAGCACAAAAAAGTGGAATTTATCTGGAAAAAAGCTGAAATGAAGGAAAAAAAAAAAAAACAGCTGAAAAGAAGCTAAAAACTCAGAAAGAAGCTAAAATTACCAGAAGGAAGTGAGAGCACATTTTTGCTGAATTGGGCTGATAAAAATTGAAATAAGTGCAAAACATGTGGAATTAGCTGGAAAAGCTAACAGCTAAATATTAGCTGAAATAGCAGAAAAAGCTGAAAGGAGCAAAATAAGCTGAAATTAGCAGAAAGAAGTTAAAAGAAGCACAAAAATGTTGTAGACAAAATCTGAAAGGAGCACAAAACAGCCAAAAAACAGCTGAAAGTAGCTGAAATTAGCTGAAAAAAAAAGTTTAAATTTGCACAAGGAAGCTGAAAGAAGCTGAAGCAGAACAAAATGTGAAAGGAGCAGTAAAAGTTTATAAACAAATCTAAAGATTTGAAGGATGTAAAATGAGCTCAATTCATTTTCTATGAGAACAAAAGTGGCAAAAAAGGCTAAATATTTCAAAAAGCTAGTTGCACCAACACCAAAAGTCATAGCACCCTTCTTCTGACTGAGCTGAACGTTTTGATTTATGATTTGTTGAAATAGCACAAAAATTGCAGAACAAGAACGATGCTGAAAACTGTACATAAGAAAAATGGATCACAATAGTGTGAATGCTTCATAAACATTCACACAGTAATAATGTTTGTCTGGTCCATTGCTGTATAACAGTTTGTTGCATGTGATGTGGTGCTCCTGTTTTTCACGTCTCTTTGTGTGTTTTTTTTGGTCTTTTCAGGTCCCCGTGTGCTTCTTTTTGGCTTTTTTGTTTCCCTTGTGCATCCTTTTTGTTTTGTCATGTACCTTTTTGTGTCCTTTTAGCTTTTTGTGTACCCCTGTGTATACATCATTATATTTCCTTGTGCATCTGTTTTGTCATTTTATGTCTCCCTGTGCCATGTTTTTTAACTGTCCATAGTTTTTTTTTGTCTCCTTGTGCTTTTTTTCTTTCTTCTGTTTCTGTTTGTCCTGCTCCTTGTGTCACTTCATCTCCTTCTTCAAACAAATTAACGAACATTGAAAGTTCAAATATTTTTCAACTCACTCTTAACTGTTCCAGTACATTTCAGCAGCATCGTTCAGGACTCAGTGCATTTACGCAGAAAATACATTTTATTTACATTATGTTTGATTTGATGGTTTGCAATGAGTACCTTTGAACAATGTTAATGTTTTTTTACAGTAGTTTAACGTATATCTGTTCTTATACCTGTGTGTGATGACATGTCGACCTAATTTGCTTCACAATTTCTACTTTTTAAGCAAATATTGGTGATGTAAGAAACAGAAAACAGCAGCAGTGTTTTGTGACGAGGTGTGCATGGTTGTAGTCTGATGCATCATGTAAATGAAACAGTGTTGTCTGGTAAATTTGTGTCCGCTGCGACCTCTGGTTTATTCTGGATTATTCTGGATTATTCTGGCGCGGCTGCAGGTTTTATCTGTGGTGAACGGGGCACGCTGACACTACCAGTGGTGTTCATATCTAAATGTATATTTGCAGTGTTTGCATCGACTGGATATTTGTCCTTTGAAAAGTGTTGGTTTTCATAAAACGTTTATATTTATAGGTATTGTGTATGCTCTTACATTTATAATATAACTGCTCCCTGTTTCCAAAGTGGCCTCTGTCAATCTGATATTTATGCACAGCCCAGTGGCTATAATAAAGCTTACACTGCCGCCTGGTGTCCTGGTCTGCAGCCTCGTTTGACTCATCAGCTGTTTTCAGCTGATATTTACTCCTTTTCTCTGTTTTTACAGTAAATGGCCATTTTACAAACAACTATTGAAAACTATTTGACAAAGCATCACTTCAAAAATAAACCAGCTATACATTCAACTCTGACCTAAACAGAAAAGGCCCCTAATTACAAAAAATACAAAAATTCAGCAAAGACCCGCTCTAAATGGACTGGGTCTCTTCGTTACCAGCAACCTGTCACAAAGACAAGTTGTTTCCATTTCTTTGGTGGAATTAATTAAAATGCCAGCGATATCACAACTTGACACATGACGTTGTTGTTGTTGTTGTTGTTGTTGTTGTTTTTACCAACTCAAGAGCAGCCAGGTGTGTCAAGTCAGCTGGATTCCACCCCCTGTTGTATATAAAATAAATGTGACTTAACCACTTGTTTTTTTCACACACAACACAAAGTATCGTGTACGTAGACAGGACAGAGGATGAGTGAGATAAACCGCTGAAAATAAATAAACAAATAAATAAATAAAGCCTCTAGGAGATCTTCAGAAATCCATTTTACAGGATTACGAGCATCAGTACAGGTGTTAAATGTCCATACAGCACTGTTGGTGTGAACATGACAAAAAGGTTGAAAAACACACTTTTTACCCTTATTTTCCAAACATTTTAGTTATTTGCAAGAATATAAAGCAGCAGCAGCTACCTTTAACAAGCTAAGAATATGTTATTGTATTTTTGCCACAATAACTGTGTAAAGCAAAATGGAAGATGTAAAGTTTATAAAATAGTATTATCATAGCGCCTCCTTGTGGTCAAAATTATTGTATCCCTAAACTGAGGACGTTTAAAGAGCTGTGTATAAAATGTAAAAGATGAAAAGACTTGAACGATTCCTTTAACCTGTTTACCTGTTTTGTGCACAATTCCATATGGAGTCATAAAAAATATTCTCATTATTGCCACACACACACACACACACACAGTGTTTTAGGATATTTCTTTGTTCTGAATTTTAAAACTTGCATATTTTCTCACAGTTCTGCTCAGTTTGATGTTGGATCCAGTTGAAATCTTAATGAGTTCAAGTCCTACCACCGTATTTTTCGGACTATAAGACACACTTAAAATCCTTTAATTTTCTCAAAAATTGACAGTGAGCCTTATAATCCGGAATAAACCTTATGTATTAATTGTGGTTGTGCTTACCGACCTCAAACCAATTTTATGTGGTACACGGTAGAGTTGCATTCAGGCCCAAAATATCCAACCCGACCTGGCCCCAGCCCATAGCCATCATTTCTGTACCCCACCCAACCCAACAAATTAACAGTAATTACAGGTCAGAACCTGAATAAACCCCTGACATTTTGAATAAAGCTT